TTTCAATAACTGCACTGGTTTTAAGGTGTCTATCATCTGCACCTCTCGGCTGAAAAGATCAGCAGTATCAAACCATACCATGCTCCATATTGCCTCCTTCTCTGTGCCCTGTCATTCTCCTGTTCCTTCCCTAAGGACAGTCTGCCTTCATAGCTCTAAATGCTACTGTGCACTGTGTGCAAGACAAATGAGAAACCAAAAACCACTCCTGGGTCTACAGACTCAGTACATGACTCAGTTCTGAGATGCCACCACAAACTGTTGTCCTTTGGCTATAAGATGACACGTGGTGTAGCTGAGGGGATTCCCAAGCACTGGCAAAACATTTCCCAATGTGTATTTGTAATTTTGCTGTACTCTTATGTGTTCTCAAGCGTGAGCATAGAAACCTTTCCAAAATGCCAAGGAAAACAAAACCCATCGACCTTCCTTGCCAAATACCTGGCAGCTTCTGTACCACTGTTTTATTTACATGTCCAGGTTAGATAGCAGAGCTTATACTGCCGCCTTCAACCCGTCCTTGAGAGCAACAGAAATGGCTCCAAAGCAACCCTGTCCCATTTGCTGAGCATCCAGTCATGATGCTGAGCTAGACCAGCACAGCACTGGCTGGTGCTGGGGCCAACTCTTGATGCTGCACTCCTAAATGCTGACTGCAGACTATCAGACAGAGCAAACAGCAGCCTATTTACTTCTTACAGCCAAAAGCAAACTTACACAAACCAAAACAGAACTGCACTCAGAGACCACAGATCCACTTACCACTGTGAAAGAAATTGCCACTTGAGGCAAGAACTGTGTTTCTCTTATTCCTGGCTGCCTGTACCTGGCTCCATCTAGCCACTACCTTAGTCAGGAATTATCTGATAACACAGAGGACAGTCACACTCTCTTTCCCCAGGAAAACTCAGATGTTCACCCTGCCTCTTAACACCAGGTTTCCCCTATGCAGCAAAAAGACAGAGCAGACAGATTTGCATGGAAGATGTAACATGGTCACTCCTCTGCATTAGGAACTCTGCATGTAAGACAAACATTACAAAAAACCCTATGAATTAAAAACTCTATTAAAATCTTCAAGACCACGTTGGCTGGAGCCTTCAATAACCTGGTCTAGTGGAAGGTTCCTGCTTATGGCAGGGGGATTGGATCTACATGGTCTTCCAACCCAAAAAAAGTCTATGATGCCAAGCACACGTTGTGTGACAATCTGAGAATTTCTGTACTCATGTTTGCATATTCCCATAATACCAGTAAAGCAATTTTGATAAAGAGGGTAGAAAGTACAAATGCACTTTCACTAATTACAGCACCCAGAGAACCAGAGGCAGTGACAGGGGGGAAAAAAAAAAGAAAAAACCCCCAAACTTTCAAGCACAATGCTTTGACAATGGATGCAAAAACCAGGACACTTAATAGGCAAATAAAAAAGTTTCAGAGAGCAAAGTAATATAAAAAGAAAATTACTTTGATAAGTTACTTTCTAGCACTAAGAGGAAATGTGGATGCTTTTGGGGGATGAGCTTTGTGCTAATAAAAATGGTGTTCTAATGGTACAGGTACCACACATTTTACTTTAAATCAAGTGGTTGCTCTAGGTATTAGAAAAACTGAAAGCCTGCTCATCAAAACAAATATGAGATGTTTACATACTGACAACAAACATTTCATGTTTGGTACTGCAGCAAAAATTAAGTAGTTGCTTGGGTGACAAAACCAGCACACAACATACAAATGAACTGTATCTTTTTAATATATATTTAAATATTTAATCTTGTGGCCCACCTACCACTTCGATCTTTCACCGCTAGATAGGACTTGGAAATTTCCCTTTCCTCTCTGAAAATCTGATTTGAAATTGGATATTAACTGTTCACACTTAAACACAATTACTGAAGACTTCCTTGGAAGGAACACTGTCCTGAAATCCTTGTCTAGTTAAAGCGAGCAAATATCTACTTCAAGTGAGCATTTAGAGTTCTCATACCTGGAAGATTAGAAGTCTTCAGCTGCCAATACATCCTTGAATTTGGATTAATTTTGCAGACAGGCACTTTTAGCAATTTGTATAGATTTTCCATTTGATGAGAAATGTAGATATGACCGAATAAATAAAGACAAAATTGCTCAGATATCCAAAACTATTATTTTAAAGGTCCTTGTATACCTTACCTATATGTAAAGCTTTATTCCAGCAATATACGTCATTATATGCACAGAGTCAATAAACAGGCTCAATTTTTTTTCTTTACTCTTCCTCTACCCATAAGGAACCATATTGAAGTCAGTAAGGCCCAGTATAATGCCAGAATATAAAATAAATTTAAAAATAGAATCAGGGCTTAAGGACATTAACTTAATCCAGAGAAGAACCAAAAGCCATCAGCAAAGTAACATCTGAAAAAAACATTAAGTGAGCAATAAGGTTACTGGGTTTCTGGTTTCTTGCCTTAAACCAGTAACTTCTTTCTGCCAGGACATATATTTTTACTGATGTACTACTATAAAAACTAAAACAAGACAGCACTTAAAAAAAAGAAAAAAAAAAAAAAGCTCCAATATAACATCCTATCCTAGGAGTGTTTTGAAGAAAAGCAAAATGTAAGCTGTAACCCCCAATATACAGTTCTGAGGTTTAATTCATTCCAAGCATGTCATACAGACATTAGTGCTGGCTAAAAAAACATTTAAGAAGCGTTACCTATCCCTTCTTACTCCCACTACTCCCTTCTCACCACTTATTAGTGAATTAACATTGTTTAAAAAGATGACGAAGTAATTGGTCTGATTGCCTTTCATATTTCTTTTCCAGTTGAGAGAAAATAAGCCCATGATTCAGTGTGCTGTTGTAACCCAAGTCTTGTATTTTTGAGTTTCTGTCTAACCAAGGAACAGAGAAGCCCACACATTTTACTAGATCAACCCACCAGGCCAAGTAAGCACCTTAAATATTATTTCTGCAACTCTGAATTTAAAAGTGTTAGTCTTTTAACTTGTCTGTAACTTATAAACAAGACTAGCAATAACAATTGGATATTCTAGTAACTATCATTCAAAGAAGTCATTCCTTCTCTTCAGTAAAAATATATGTTCTGTACAGGTCAAATGGCAGAATACCAAGTGACACCCACAAAAGTAAATTCTACTCATCAGAGCAAGACTGAGATCACAGGTGCATTGTACAGGTATCACAGACAGAACCAGAGAGGTCCGAAAGATCAACCCACCCTTGCTGAGGCCAAATATACCCAGAAGACCTGGCAGACTCCTGACACCTGGTTAATATATGGCTGTAGGAATTAAGTGATGGAGTCTTTCAACAAAAACACCTGCTGTGCATAGGACAGTACAATGAGATTCGTGCACTTATTATACGAGAAAGAACGAGATTTCTCTCACTCTTCTGTCACTCAAGGAATAACAACGATAATAACAAAGGAAGTCTTGCATTAGCCTCTTGTTTGTCAAAAAGTGAAATTGGGATGGGACAATCCAACTGTAACCCACCCTTTGGGACTGGAAAATCCCACAAAAAGTTGATCACGATGCTCAGGGTCCCTTTCAATCTGGGCCATTCTATGATTCTAACTCAGCTGCAATCATGACAGTATACATACCCTGAACTTACCTTCAGCTATAGATACCAAACAACACCATGCCTATCTGTTCACCTTCATTCTGGCTGGGGGTAGCATGGGCAACAGAAAGTATCACAGGATTCCAGCTGACTTTTACAGTGGGTAGGCTGGGCTGCCTAAGTATGCTTTTTCAGGGATATATTCCACTCTGCAAGCTCCTTCAAGGAAAGAGGACAAGCAGTAGTGCAGCCTCTCCTACATAAAGGTTTCTGTTCTGCTCTTTCCTGAGGAAAGGGGAGGGTCACCTCATACACCAAAGAATATAACAACAACTAGCTATGGCTTCAGCACAGGCACTTCTACATCCATTCATGCTTCATCCTGGGGATCACCATCAGGTCCAGTAAACACCAGCTGTTCTGTTTGTTCTGATGAATGGCATTAGACCTGTTTGTTCTCCCCTCTTGCCTTCAGTCGAGATCAGGAAGTGATTTTGGAAAAGCACCGACAGAACTGCCCACAAGCACCGGCTGGCCCCAGTCTCAGTCTGCTGAAAGTCATCCCCAAGCACAGTTGTTAACTTGAAACTTTAGAGGACATACTACCTCTCCAGATGTGCTGTGAGAGGAAGCCATTACACTTACTCCTGTTTCTTCCTATTTCTGTGTCATTTAAAAATAGACAGTGAGGAGAAAAAAACCTCACAGCTATACCACAACTGGAGATTTTATTATTCTCTGTTGAAAATAGGTCCTCCAACATGCTGGAACAAAACCAGGCACCTGTCTGGAGCTCCTCAGCAGGTCAGTTATTTCAGTTTAACATACGACTTTTTCCCTCCCTCTCACGTATGTTCCCACCACCCAAAGCCGGACTTTGCTGCTCCCAGGTCCATCCCAGGGGACAGCGGGGGGGGGGGGGGCCTCGGGGCCTTGTGACTAACCGAGCTGCACTTATGTCGGCGCTGCTCCCTGGCTGAGGAATAACAAAACAAACCCTTCTCTGCCTCACGCCTGGATTGCTGCAGCGCCCTTTCCAGATGGAGAAAAAGGGCATGGGTGGGCCGGGCCCTGGGGCCGCTCTTTCCGGGAGATGAGACACCCCCCCCCCCGCCGCCCCGGGCGGGCAGCGCTCCCGGACCGCCCTGGATTTTGATCCTGAGAAGCCACGTCCGCGAGGTGACAAAGCTCGGCCTAACCGCTGTCACCTCCTCGCACACACCACCCCCATCCCATTCCATCCCATCGTCCCGAGACGGAGGCCGCGACCGAGCGGCGGCCGCGCCCCGGAACGCCCCCAGCCCCACAGCCACGGCCCGCCGGGAGAAGCGCGGCGAGCCTCCCTTCCCCACCCAGCGGCGGAGCGAGGGAGTCCCCGCCGGCCCGGCCCGGCCCGGCCCGGCGGAGAGCGGCGGGCACGCACCGTGTAGAGCAGGTTGAGGGCGCAAAGGCAGTTCTTGGAGCAGGCGAAGCCCCCGCACGCCATCGCGACTCCACCACCGGCCCCGCTCGGCAGCTCCGCGGCAGCGCTAGGAGGCCGCAGCCCCGCCCCCGGCGCGCGCGGGTGCGGCCGCAGCAGGTGAGCGGCGCCCGTTGATTGGCCGCCGCCGGGCGCAAAGGTAAATGTATGCAAATGTCGGCGGTGACGTCACGCCGCCGGCCTCTCTCCGGCGGCGCCGCGATCCCGCTCCGCGATCCCGGGCGGGCCCGGCGCGTCCCCGGGGGCGGGAGCGCGCCACGTTCCCCGCTGTTGTGACGACACACGCCTGGGCCTCGCCCCCTCCGCCCCGCCGCGCCCCCGGTCCCGCAGCGCCGCCTGCCCCGCGGCCACAGCTGCGTGCGCTGCCTGCGGGTCGGAGCGTTCCGTACGGGACACGGGCGGTTCCTCGCGGCTCGCTCGGGGCGGCACGTACCTACAGTCGATGGCCTGTGGAATCTCGAGGAGACATCCAGGGATTTACTTGTGCAGGCCGTGAAAGTGTTCGGAGTGCTGTTAGTTTTACCAGCTAATCACAGAATCATCAGGGTTCTAAGAGACCTTTAAGGTCATGAAGTCCAACCAGCAACCTAACACTACCACTGTCTGCTTATTTGTATTTTTAACATTTTTTTATTTACCTTTTTTTTACTGAGTCGTGTTTTCAGTGTGCTTCGTTACATGTTTAAATCTGTACATTTCCTTAATTTGAGGGTTAAATATTTTCACTTACAATTATTTCACTTTACAAAACCGTCTATCAGTAATTTCCTGCTATTCGGTACCTAATTCTTATTGCTGTTCTCAATAGGCTCGAGTGGTGTCCCTCTTTGCTAGAACTCTCCAAAATCCTGTCTCCGCAGTCACCATGGGCTGGGCTCTGCTGGATGATGCTTTATAATAGCTACAATAAATTTAATAACTGACAGCTATTTCAACATGGACATGTGTTGCAGGATTAATGTCCAAGACAGTTTCTTATCTTTTCTGCTGGGATTCACAAAGAGACAAGGAGACACGTGTTTCTCACTTGGGATGTCTGTAGGGGTACATCGCACAGTAGTTTTACTTTATCGGGGTTTGGTGTCAGAGAAGAAGTTGGGATGGTCAGTTCCTAGTAAGCAGAGGAAGCTGCATCTACTTTCTGATAAATTCACAACAATTCTTAATAGGAACTTGTCATCAAAACAGTTCAAGGAGGAAATTCCAAAAGCATTTTGTTTTCTGTAATTTGGCTGGCCTTCATCTGCTAAGGGAAGCCCCAGCAGGCAAATAATCCTTGCCAGCAGTGAGACAGAGAGTGGTTGAACAGCAGCTTTGTCTTTCCTAGTCTGTCATTCAGATCTTTTGTTTTTCTTTTTTTATTTTAAACATGTTTTTTCCATGCTCTTTGATGTTTTGCCAGACTTCTGCAATTAAATATAACACACTTCTTTTTCTCATGCCATAGCAAACACTCATTTTTTTACTGATGTATATCTACCTCTCAGCTGGTAGACAGGCAACAAATTAAAATTCTCCAATATTTGTGACCACAAATTAAATCTGAATGCTCAACAGCTGCTGAAGTTTTATGTATGTTTGTTTCTAAACTTGACAGACGCAGACTATCCCTACTGCTGAAGTTTTGTGAAGTGACAGGAGGAGTTAAAAATCTGTTGGTTTGTTGGGGGTTTTTTTCACCTTGATAATTAAACTGACTTGATGTTGTGGCTAATTTGGCCTATTGGAAATGCAGATTTAATGACTGGAACTACTGCCTTTACTGGTCCATGCTTCTGATCTTTTGGGCCCAAATCTGGCAGAACATAAACCCAGTATAAAGTCATTTGGTTCAGTGCAATTTTACTGGCTGTTTTTAATTTTTTTGAAAATACCAGTTTCAGAAATTCTTTGATGTCTACTCAATAGGAAAGACTATCTTGAGCGTATACCCGTTCCTGAACACAAGAAACCATCAGCATATCAAATGTTTTTGTTGGATTTTGTTGCAAATGCTCACGTCTAAAGTTACTGTACCATTGTTCCTTTGGTTATAGTGCTGAATTATTCAATATTATCATCCGCTGCCCTTAGTCTTAGGAGATCTCTTTCACAGTTAATTATTAAAAGATATACCTCCACTTTTTTAATTAATGCTGGTGTTTCCTATTAAGGGACCCAGCTCCTACAGCCCTTTGTGTGTGGGAAGTACCTCTTACATGTTTCCTATTTCATGTTCAGGTAGGCATCGAACTATGTCTAATGCAACTTGGTTCATACCCACCTCTGACCATAAACTCTGAATTTATACCAATTCAGCTGGTATAAACAAATCAAAGGCTCCAATTAAGTAAATAGAGCTATGACAAATGAATGTAGCAGGGGTCTAGTTCTCCCTCCCACACCCCCTTCCAATTTTGTTTACAAGTTATGGTACAAATTTGGATTTAGAATAATACTTTTGCTGATACAGCAGTCATCTGTGCTGACTGCTGTAGTTTCTGATAGTGGTTAGGAGTACATCTGTGCTCCTATTCCACATCAGACTTCAGTACTTAGCTTGTATTTTGGCTGGAACTAAATTGGCTTAATTCTTTTAAATGGCTAATTATAATTTATTAGTTATGGAAAGAGTCTCCTAGAGTTGGAAGGAAATCTTTCTCCCACTGTAGGGAAAACATAGATAGTGTTTATTTGATTTTTTTTTCAGGTTATTTAAATAGCTGGCCCAAGTGAGGATTCTAAGTGTTTGTCTCCTCAGCTTTTGTATCTCCCATCTGTTACATGAATTCAGAGCTGCCAGACATAACCAAGAGCAGAATACGCCTTCTCCTTTTCTTCCCTCACTTTCTTTTTTGATGCTTGTTCTCTGCTTCCTTGCACAGTCTTTGTTCTCCTGACCTTCTCTGGTGTGTTTCAATGGCACTGCTGGCAACAGGAGGAGCTACAAACAGCGTGAATTAGTCTTTCTTTCATGGGAAACTGCAGCGGGGGGAGAGTACACTGGGCACTTGTAATGCTGCTGATGTGCACTTACAAGTCAGTACAAAAAGTAAACGCTCCTGCAAAGGGAAAGGGGAGTGAAAACATAGAGTTACTGGGTCTCAATGCTGGCACACTTTTTACAAGTCAGAAAAGCTTCAAATGAAGTCGTTTGGGTAGTTTACACTTCTTTTCCCGGTAAACTCACATCAGCTACATTGGGTTTAGGAGGTTTTCTGCATGGGGCCTTCTGCTGAAACAATGTGAATGCAAACTCAGCTTGTAGGCAAATCTTTTCTGTTTCTGTAGCCTGTGACCCCATGATTGCTGCTGGTTTCTGTTGTTATTATTATGTGTGTGAAATCTTAAGGTCTGTATCACTTCTGAGGCGCAAGCTTGAAATGTAAAGGCTCAAATATATACAAAATTCTCCTGAAGTATATACATTGTCTTAAAATTAAGAATGTGTGACCTCCTTTCTTTCTCTCTACTATTATGGCGTGTCTGAAACTGTGATTGAAACGTTGTTTGCAGAAATTGATTTTTATCACTTTATTTTTCCCAGGTTTACAATGAGTTGTTGACAGCACTTTGAGTATTTTATTTCACTCTTTGTTTTGCAAAGTCATTTTTCTTTCCCTGTTGTTTGTATGAAGTCTCTCATGCACATCAAAATCAGGGAGGGGGAAAAGAGGGTTAAAAAAAGCCAGTTGTTTCTATGAGTAGTATTTATTGTGTACAGTTGACATATTTAGATGTTAGTTTTGAGATGAATAGTGTATACACACAAAGGGGCAGGGTTTCAGCTGGCTTAACTTGGAGTAAATAAAGGCCTTATCTTACCTTTGCAGTTGACCGTTAAAGTATGTTCCTGTCCCTGGGCCAGTTAAATATGTCTGAAGTTTGATGACAACTGTAGAATCTGTCAGCAAAGTCTGTGAAGTAAAATGCTGTTTGTCATCAACCGTGTCTCTCAATGGATGTAGAGTTACCAAAGTCCTGTCATTTGTTGTGTCGTTGAACAGGGAAATCTGAGTCATCTCAGTCACCTGAACCGCCTCAGTTTTTGAGTCATGTCAGTTAGTCACCTTAGTTGTCAGTAACCTATGACTGAATATACGGAGTCAATAAAACATACACTTGAAATGTTATCTGCAGTAACAATCGAGATTTTTTTTTTTTTAATTCAGCACAAATGTCCTGTGGATAGACCGCAGTTATTTCCTGATGTATTAGTAATGAATTGGCTGTGCCATGTTGTTTCCATGCAGTCATGACGTCCTCCCTGCTTCCTGGAACGAAACCAGTTCCCAGCACTGCTGTTGCGCTTGTGCCATCCCATCCTCCACCTTAAAGAAGCCCTTTCTGGCACCAGGCAGTGAGGAATAGCATGGGTAAGTGTAGCTGTTGGGTTAATCTTTGCTGTCTTACAGGTTGACACAAAGGTGTTGTGGTGGTGTTTCATGATTACGAGCCAGACACGATGGAGAGACAAGGCAAGCATACAGAATAAACTTGTGTTGTTTGGATTGGAGGTACTTCTCTGCAGAGAAGAAAAAATGTACAAAATTGTTTAGCCTTTTTTTTTTTTTTTTTTTTTTTAGTGCAGTGGAGCATTGTAGATTGAGAAAGGGAAATTAGGACAGGAAAATAGGCCATTTAAGTACCGTGGCTAGAGCAGTCCACAACTAGGTCAGAAATTAGCTCCTCCAAAAGCACAAAGGCATAGCACATGTTCAATTTAATAAATCTAACAAGTGGTTACAAAGGAAATAACAGTTTGTTCATCTTTGCTCTTGGAGAGACAGATAATGAATCTGTTCTTTGGCAAACTTTCTGACCAAAATCCAAATGGCATAAAGCTCTCGCATTAAGCCTGGGAAATTAAACTTCTATTAGAAAACTACCTAGAAGAGAGACTCATTCAAGCAAAAGCAGTTACAGGCAAGTGCAAAACTGTTGCTCTGGATGGAGTGTCCAGATTTCCAGTCTTGCATTTTAAGCCTTTCTTTATGATTTCCACCAGATCTACCATGGAGTGTAACAACAGCATGTCTATTTGTTAATTCAGTTGATGCCCATGTCTTTTGATTGTCTCATGAGTAGCACTTGCCAGACAAAATATAGGCTTGTTTTTTCCCTCTAATGTTTACAAACAGGTGAGGGGAAAAAAAAAAAAAACCAACAAAAGAACAAAACAAAGAGCTAAAATAGCCCCAGGACATGGACTTTAAAATGAAAGCATATTTCCGAGGTCAGCCTGCTAAAAATAGTCAAAGGGACAAATACTCATTTTATAGGTTCAGGAGCTAGGTGTTGGTATTTCTGAAGTCCTTAACTGTAGGAATCGCTTTTTGGCACATTATAATCCATTTTTAATTAAACTTATAGAGGATTAGGATAAGGAGAGTTTGTTGCATCTGATGTATTAAAGAAACATCTAGAGGCTGAAAATACCAGTATAATGATATTTCAAATAGTAGTATACGTGAAAGGCTTGACCTAAAGCCCAGTTCTTCTGTTCAAGACTAAGATTTGGAAATGTTCTGAAATTGGGCTGTTTCTAGGGAAGTCTGGAAGAGAAAAAGGCAGAATTCTAGATCCAGGAAGTGAAGCGACCTAGTGCTTCCTGCAGACAAATCCAAACTTACTTGTCCTGTTATGTATAAGGCACTCACATGTCTCTCTGGAGAGGTGGATAACTGCTGGGAAAGTAGCCTCTGGAAGACTGTGTGTATCATACTCTGCTTTCACAGGAAGTGGGTCGGAGCAATATGCTGGCACCTGACCCATCCCATGTCTGTTCTTCAGGTCTGAAATAAACCCAGCAAACTTCAACAGCAAATATAAGTTAAGACAATAACTTTGTGATTAACAGGACATGTTAATGCTTGTGGACTAACAGTGAGGTGTAAGCAGCAGGAGAATAAATAGTTTTCAGATTAATTGCCGGTTTTATTGGTTTTATGTTATGTCTGCTGGAAGTTCTCATTACCATTGCATCCCAGAGATTTCCTATTTATCACATTCAGGTGGAAACCATCACCCTTTGATTTTGGTTTAAAGGGAAAATGGATACCATCTGCCCAATACCCTCCCAGGTGATTCCCTGGGAGACTTCCAAGAAATCCTAAGAAGCAGAAATCCAAAGTCTTTACAAGTACGTAGCAGAACAGTAAAGGATGGTTTGAGCAAGACCTTGTACAGTGGAAGCATACGGGTGGGGAGAAAAGCTCGGTGTTACAAAGGAAATTTGAGCATCAAGGCTCTGACGTAAGCTGATTATTTAAGTGATAATCACCAGGTCTGTCTTTTGGCTGTGTCACTACTCCTCCTGTGCATGTGAGCTATGACAAGTTGTGATGTGCCCATCACAGAACCATGGAGAGCACAGGTTGGAAGGGACTCCTGGTGGTTGTCTGATCCAACCTTCTGCTCAAAAGCCAAAGCAGTTTTGTCAGAGAGATGTTCAGTCAAATTTTGAACATCTCTGAGGATGGAGGACCACAACAACTTGTTTCAGTGCTTGAGTACTCCCACTGTGAAAACTATTCCATTATCGGAATTAACCTCGCTGCAACTTGTGACCGTTGCCTTGTTCTTTTGCTATGTCCATCTGAGAAGTTTGGCTCTGTCTTCAGTCTAACTCCTTTTTGAGACTGAAAGACCGTAGTCAGATCTACCCCCAGCCTTCTTCTGTGTAGGTTAAATAAACACAGTTCCATTGTCATTCCTACGTCATTTGTCCAGGAGCCAGAACAGTAATTTTTTTCCCTGTGACATCATGAGCTGGTATTTTCCTTTGACATCCTGATAATGTGGGGTAGATCACTTCTGAGAGAATAGAAACATTTCATTCAAGCCAGCAGTCCCCAGGTGAAACAAATTCATAGGATAAAGAAAAAGAATGCCAAGCTTTGTTGTATCTGTTGTTTCTTTCTGTGGTTTATATAAAGCACAGTCAGTGTGCTCACCCTGCTCCATCAGTGTGGCTTAGCTGTGGTAAAGTTAGCTATTACATCCTGTGGTGATGTAAGAATCTTTCAGAAATGGATGATTTGGCTATGAGCAAAACCTTGAAAACATGAGTAGTAAATGGCTCAAAATTCAGAAGGTAAATTTAAAGAACATAATTTCTTTCTTAATATCAGATCTTAAACCAGTATCATAACTAATTTAGACACCTGACATACATTTTGAAGCAGCTGGTTCAGTGATAAAAATACATGCCCTTAGCAAGTCATCTTTCTTTAAAATGTCGCATTATTAGAACAGTCTAGCTTCTTTTCTTGCAAAGAGAAGACCTACAGCCACGAGCTGCCAGTATTGTGAATACAGTGCTTCTGAGTAGGCGTGAGGAGCATATAGAAAAAGCTATGACTCTTTAGTTAGGAAAACAACCTGCTCCTGCCAGCCAGTTCTGCTGCATCACCGCCATCATCTGTGCGCAAGCTGGGGACAAGCTGGGAAGCAGTTTCATCATCTGGTCGTTTCCCTTGACAGCACTAAAAGCATATCAGGCCCTCACATAAAAATTTAAAGCAACATGAGTGCTCAAGAGTATGTTCATCTATAAGAACAGCTCCTTATTTTCCAGTAGTCTTCTTGCAAGCAGATGACACTAACAGCAGAATGGGTATCTAGTAACTAGGAAATAAAAGAAACAAACCTTGTTTGTTACTTCAAGTGTCATGTGATATCCAGAGTTTGACAGTGGAACCCTAAAGTCTCATGTTTATTCTGAATTTTCTGCTTTGCTCTTGAGCTATATAAATCCAGCTCCAGTATAGCAGCAGACATAACACTTTGAAAATCAGCCTATTTGTCCTGGTGTGGAGTGCACTTCTGACTTTATGTAAAATAAGCAGTATATAAGCTTACACATTTAAACTTAGCTTCATATTTTATCCTACAAGTTAGCTGCTTATGGAGTCTAGTGTCAGTGCTTTTTGCTATCACTGCCAAAACATCTGCATTAGGGACATTACACAAGCTGACAGGCAGACACTGGTATCTGCAATAAGTAATTAATCCCTTAAACACACAGGAATTTTCTATCAGTTGAATTGACTTGGTACAATTTCCCTAAAGGAGAGATAAAGCTGCTGGGGCATGGTTTATCTTTCACCAAAATTTCTTCTTGGAGTCCCAAGGTTTGCCTCTTTTTGTTGTCGCCCTACCCAACCTGCCCTCACAATTTAGGGTTTGCCCTTTTGAAACTGTGGGGTTTGTGTTTCTAGTTGGTGCTGGTCAAGACAGCCATCATTTGAAAATGGTTTTACATGAATTGGACAGGTATTAGCTTTGGGTTGTTCTTTTTTTCTATGCAGTTTTTTGTTACTGTACAGTTTACACACAGAGAAGAGTGTTTTGTCAGTGTGCTAATACAGTTTCCATTTAATGGTGTACTTCACAGGTATAAAGAACCATTCTGCAAGAAAGTAAGAGAAGCAAACAGGAATGAAGAAAGGACACAATGGGTTTTGTACTGTTCTATTTTCTTTTTCTTTTTTTTCTTTTTTTTTTTTTTAAGGGAATAACTGAAGAATCCTTAAATAGAGAGAATACTTGCAGTGACTGTTCTTTACAGAATGTACACTGACTGCTAATCATATCTAAAGGTAAATCTAAACTTAATTCTAAACTTAATTCTGCTGAAAAAGTTTAAAATAATTAGTTTACTTCCTAGTATCAGATGGAAAGTGTTTTTGACACCATCTTGTGTTTTATTTCCACCTATGTTGGAATGAGAGATGGCAGCTCTGGAAGCTGCCAGCCTGTTGCTACAGGAGTGGCTTTTCTTCTAGAGGTGTTTTGAAACTTAATGGCACGGTTTCCCTATAGTAGCCCAAGTCATGGCAGCTTGCAGTATGCTTGATTCTGCTTGTCTTGTTGATGCCACCGAGAGAGCCACAGCAGCTGACAAAGCAATAACTGGGATGCTGATGAAAAACAAGGCTGCTTCAGCAGTAGCAAACCTTTTTATACATGAACCCACCTTTTAAAGGATCCAGCCTTAAATTAATATTGTGTACTCCGATTAAGTGCTCTTGAAGGCTGCTTTTCCCCAGGAAATATTTCTTCATGTAATTTAGAAAGAGCAAGCAATCTCATACTAGGAGTGGACAGATCTGGAGCGCTGAAACCTGTGGGTGCACTGTGATGCTGCTTTGCACCTGTTCAGTGGGATTGCTGGCATGAGTGATAAAACATATTATGAGTGCTATCAGCTAATACAAGTGATATTGTGATAGAAGCAGGCCAGCAAATGTCAGACAGACTTTACGGCTCTCTCCTTGTCAGCAGCAGGTTAGTGTCTATTTCTAGTCTCAACTCCAGCTATTGGTGCAAAGATTTTCTTTGAGAAAGAAAGGAATGGACTTAGATCTCTTTTTCCTGCTTCCCATTGGAAGTGTTGGGGCTGAGACACCACAGCTTCATCCCCCTAAGTCTCTGCTGTCAGAATTCATAAAGTGTTTCCTGGTGTCTTGATGTCTGCCTTAATTGTCATCTTTATCTCTGAGCCAAAGGACAGGAAGGTCACAGGTCTGATATAAAAAAGCAGAAGATCCCTCAGAGGGTTTACTCCAAACACTGCGTAAATCCTTAACTGCTAAGACAGTTTGTCATTCAAATTGTATGGGTTTTTTTATTTGACATTCCTGTGTCAAAGGCAGGTACCCTGTACTAACCAAATACTGTAGGCACCTCTGCATTTGTGGAGCAGAGCACACTTGATATTTTTATTCAATAGTTGAGGTTTTTCACAGTACTTTATCAGATCTGTTTAATACTATTTTCCTGAGCTGAGTGATTTCTGTTTTTTGTTTGCCTCTGAAGAAGAATGTATTTCTGCTCATTATAGACTAGACAGCAGTGAAACCTGGCTGGGGAGAGGTGGTTGAGTAACATAATGATACCATCTCCAAATATTTCTCCAAAACTAGAAGGAGTCTCTGTTTGTGATAGGGGAATCTGGTTCATCTTGGGGGAATATCTTAATTTCCAATGCTTCCATTTTATGGGGTGGAGTAAGAACCCTTGGGAATCAGAATATCTCTGGGTTCCTGATCTTTTAAGTGACTTCTTGTGAGAACGGTTAGCATGAATTTCAGTATGGAAAAAAAATTCCAGCATAAATGTCATCTACAGCATGGTTCAGTTGATTCAGACTGAACAGACTGAACAGACTGAACATTGTTGCAGGACTGACAGGTTTTTGCTCTGCTGTCACACTCTCATTTATGTTTGTAGAAGGCCATGCTTTTATGCTTTTCCTCTAGTTTACTTTTAGGTTCCCATCTATACTATTAAAATTGGCCCTAGTGGATTCTTCCATTGATGTGGGAAGAAGCTGTCCTTTTTCTTCCTCTCTGAGGATTAGCATTCTCAGGAAGACCACACTTCTCCTCCGTGCCTTTTTCATGTTACAGCTTCAGGGTTGCTTTGCAGCATCAGCACCACCATGTGTTTCTCTTCAGTCAGTTGTCCATATGTTGCTTACAGCTTTCAGACCTCTCCCAGACCCCGTGGAAGCCATTTGGAGTTTAGGGTCATGAGAACCAGTTTCTTTAGGACATCTTTAGTAGATATATTCATGTCTTTGATTTATCCATGCTGATTCTTCTTGCCTGCATCTGATTCTTGCATTTCATCCATCCTACTCAAGTTTAGTAATGTATAAAGGTAAAGTTGCACACAGGCAGAACACAAACAAGTGTCTGTTTGCTTTTCTAGTCCCTGAAGGGAAGATTGTTTTATTAATAAGTCATCCAGATGCGTGACTGTATCATTTGAGCTGCATTTTGCCCCAAGAATCCTTCAGTTTAAAGGAGCACCATGAGCTGCTGTTTCAGGAAGGTTTCTAAAAAAAAATAAAAAATTCAGTTGCTGTAACAGCCACTAAATTATAACATAAATATGACACAAATGCTAAAGAAATCACTAAACTATAATCAGTTGTTATAAAAATACTAAAACTAACCCACATAAACAAAACTAAGAAAACATACAAAGGGAACTGTGAATGTGATAATGCACAAAATGCTGTTGAAAGCTGAAATAGAAGAAAAAAATTGAGATAAAGCAGTCTCTGCTCATCAGTAACAGGTGTGACTGTAAGAGGAGCAGCACATACTTGCTGTTTGGTGCAGAAGGGACACACATGACCTTGAATGATACAAGTATTCCGAATTATCTTTCTGTCCTGTTTTTTTTGTGCTGTACTTCTCTTAGGACTGCTACTTCCCTTCTGTCTGTGCAGTGTTTGCTGGCATTTTCCCTGACAAGCTACTGGCCTATTTGGTGTCTCTGGAGACTGCATCCCTACAAGTCTGGGCTGCTGTGATTATTTTAGCACTCAATGCAGGTTTCCCTGAGGAACAGTGGAATTGTGCCAGATGTGGTTCATGTGCTCTGCTTCCCCTGGGCTTGGCAGGGAGGCTGTGTGCCAGCTCGAGGGGCACCAAGAGGGGACTGAAGCAATGGCACTTGGTCCCTGTCCTGGGCCCTGGGAAAGGAGGGATCCCCTTTCCATCCTCCAGGCAAAGGGCTGCAGGACATGTTGCTGCACAGGCTGCACAGCATGGGAGGGCAGACAGCTCTGATTGCAAGTCCAGAAGTTTACCTGAGGGCCACAAAATGTTTTCCCAGTCTTTCTGGAAATCTGGGCCAACCTGTGATGAAGAGGAAAGTGAGAGGTGATCTGTCTGGGAGCAGAAGGCATTTCCATGTTGGATTTATTGAATTATGTGTGGTTTGTGATGGGAGAGAATTCAGAATGTTCCCAGCTGGGGACAGGATGACATACCCTTTAGTTAGAAATCAGCCTTAATGGATTCTTCTGGAACAGCTTTTACAGGTTCAGTTTTCTGGATTCACTAATGTCTTAAGCTCAAAGCAAAATGCAGAAAATATGAAGTCTGTGATAACAGGAAGAAATACAAGGTTGTTTCTATTAACCCCCAAATCCCACTGTCTTGATAAAATCACAGAAAACTGGTTTATTTTCAAAAGGTAGGAAAAGTGCAATCTTCCACATCTGTCAATATACTGCTTCAATTTCTTGATACCAGAAAAATTTCTGGTTGTGGAAGTATAAGTGTGATTTCCAGGCTCTTTCAGATGATATCTTTGCATTGGCATTATCTCAGGGCCTGGATCATAGGGACAGACTTGATGCAGGGATGGGCACCAAGCCTCATGATAAATACCATTTTATTCCTAGCTAGTGCAGTGTTGGCTGAGACTCTTGAGCAAAGGTGGAAAAGTCTGAATTTTCTTTATTTAAACTTCTTTAGGTGATCAACACAGTAAAAGAGTCTGTGACAACTTTTAACCTTTTCTTTCACTGACATGTCCTACTTATTCCACAAACTCTAAATTATCTGCCTTCTCATTTCCCTTTAGAGTCTCCTTCAGTATCACAGTATCACCATCAATTTTCTCTCAGGTGATCTTATTAATACAAATCTAACTAAATTTTAGATCAGCTGTTCTTGGCTGATTTTTATTTTTTCAAGGCTGCTGCTTCTATTCTGGACCTGGGGAAGGACTGATGTATTTGAAAGCTTATTGATTTTTCCCAGCTAGACTAGTGGGTTTAATAACATAGGTCTGGTAAAAGCCTTATTTTAGTCATATTCTTGGATACATCAACAACACTGTTTTGTTATTTCTTCTGGAATAATTTATGGCTGTCAGTGTTATGCAAATATCCCAGCAATAGCTAGTAATGATATGGACAGTGTTATGTTGGCCTGTCAGCAATGTTCCTAATCTTCATCAGGGAAAAATAAACAGAAAAATCTCAGGCAACTGATGTACTGGAAGAGACTTCAATGTAAAAGCACCTTCTTGTTATGAAGTTGCCATGATACAATCATTTGTTCATTCTGGATTGAATCAATCTTTTTTTTATTCCTGTGTTTTCCTATATCAGAGGAATTTGGTATTCAGGGTGTGTTTCTCCCTGTTGGTGGAGTTTCAGAACAGTTTGCAGTTTCCCTGAAGTCCCCTGGATGAAGGGTGCTGGACAGTATGGAAGCAGACACTTGAGTCTTGTAACACCACTAGTAGAAGAGCTGTGATGAGTGTAGGATGAAGTGGCAGTCATTAATGTTGAACTGTTAAATGAGGTACTTGGGCTGAGGTAATTGAGTTTCTGGGAGCCAGCACCCATGAGAGAGTGACAGATCCAAGTACCAAAATGCTACCTGTCTGTCTGCAGCTGTGTCATATTAGCAGCTCCAGCACTGGCCTCTTTCCTCATGCTAACTGGGAAAAGATGGTGGATCTTGGCAACCAGTCCAGCAACGACTCTTCAGTGGGTAGGGGACATGTCCTGTATGTCTGCAAAACAGAGCCATCCATGTGGTCCTGCTTCGTGATGGCTGAGACGGACAAGTGCATTTCTCTCTTGCATCCATGTAGGAAAGGCGGTGGGAAAGCAAGCACGCACACTTCACTCTCCTAATCCACATCTCCTCAGATGAGTACAAGGGACACTGCTCTCACAGCATGCCCCCTGGTGCCCCAAGGCAGCAGGGAGCAGTGGTGAGGTGAGAGTCCAACCTGCACAGCTCCTACTAAAGCTCACGAGGTCCCTTGTAATCCTGTGACTTCTCTCTCATCAGAGAACAACGTTGGTAAACTAGAGAGACCCAGAGGGGGCCAAGCATCTGAACCTGCTAGTGTGTGGTGTGATGTGAGCTGTCAGGCCTCTGTGGGAGGAAACCTAGGCCACCACAGTGCTGTTAATCAGATTCCCAACAAGAAAAAATAGCAAGTGAGCAGGTCATCCAGGACACCAGCACAGCACTCTGTGACATGGGCCAAATATAGGTTATGTGTACAGCTTGTGAGTGCTCACCTGCCCCAGTTGTGTCTTCTGCAGGTGTTGGCGCTAACTTCCCCTCCTGGGATTTGTTTCCAGTTACATTAAGTTTTAAAGGCCCATGTGGCTGGTAAGGAGCAAGAATTAACTTTTCCTTAAAATACCATAGCAAAAACAAAATCGAAAACCTGTGAAAAGTGGATGAAGCCAGCTCTGATGATTTGCTTTTCCCCCTTCAAAATCAAAGGATGTGGCTTTTTTTGGAAAATGTATACTTACGTAATTTGTCCTCATTTTGGTTCTTAATAACCAGCACAGCTCAGCGACTGCTGACTGGTTGGCTGCAATTAACCCATGTAATGTTATTTGTGGCTCTTTTTGAGAAAGAATTGGTTTGTCTCAGCCTACAAGCCTTATTTTAGATAATCCCCATTTTAAGTGCAACTGTGATTTTAAAGGTTGTTACTTTTGTCCATGAACGTGATAGGAGCTTAAAGCAAAGCCCTTGAGATGCCAGAGGAGATCCATTACAATTAGCAGGCAGTTTACCAGGGGCTTGGTAAGGGCATGCTTGGGAAAGACAGGTTTTATTCTCCACCTACTGTTTAGACAAACCCAGCAAGGCTGAATCACCATGTGCCCTACATCTGCAACCACCCTAGGCCTGAAATAGCTGGTTCTGGAAAGTCACATTTTGAACAAGGGGTTCAAAACAGCAACCCCACACCCACCCTTACATCACTGAATGTAAGGGATTGGGCCACCTTTTCTTGCTCTTTGAAGTCCTGGTTTGTCATTGCTGAAGTGCAGAAACTGTCCTAAAATAAAATTGTGCCACTCAAATCCCAACGATGATGTGATCTCTCTCCTGGAGAGCACTTGCACACCAGAGGAATGTTTTAAAGCAATATAATTGGCTTTCTTAGTTAAAACCTCAACATGATTTCAGAAGGGAGAGGCCAGAAGGGAAGAATCACCTTCAAATTCAGTAATCCCCATTTTGAAGTGCACCCTATTGCAATTTATTGTCAAGTAGAAGATATATGTACATTCTGACATTTAGATTGCACTGATGTTTCAAAATTGAATGCAATATATTATGTGAAGCACATTTTCTATGAAGTATCTTTGTTTTTTTACAAGACTGATTCCTTATTTGAAAAACATATTTAGTGCTGACTATAGCTTTCATTTCTCTAGCAGAGAAACACTAATTCAAGGGTTGTGTTGAAGAAATGCTTTGAGTTGGGAACATTTTTAACTGAAATGCAGACTCTGTGAAGGCTTCCAGGGAAGGGCACTTTGCCTGAAGAGAGTCACATCAGAACTTCCACCCGGCTTCTAAATCACAGGTTTCTTGAAAAACCTTATCATTACACACACTTGTACTGAAATTCAGTCTGATACAAACCAGATCAATTTATATTTGTGCCCCTACCTTGTTCAGTTACCAGCATACATGCAAAATGCTGGATGAAAAAATACACGTGCATTGAAAGTCCCCATCTGAACTGATCTCAGAGATTTGGTGGGGAAAATTCCTGAAAACTAGATACAGAAACACTTAGTGCCTAATAATTTTGCTGGGAGGAGGTGGGCAAGCTGAGAGGGGCTCCCAGGAGCTACACATTAGACATGATAAGAACACAGAAGATGCTGGGTTTTGGGTGATCTGTGACTGAAAAATGGACAACTCCTGTCAGCCCAGAGTGCAACTCCTCACTCTGCTCTAAATCACAAGTCTCAACTTGGCCAGCGGCCCTGTGCTAAAAACACTAGTTTCTCTCCAACACAACATCTATAAATGGAGCTGGGACAACTGCATCAGCCATCACAGAATATCTCAACTTGGCAGGGACCCATAAGGATCACTGGGCGCAACCTGAAGCGTGCCTGGCTTGTAGGTACCCGAACTTCAGTGAAGTGCATCCCACTGAACTTTGCTTATATCTGCAGTATGCCAGGGACACAGTCACAGCAGCACCCCAGATTTGCTGCCTTTGGCCTCAAAGTGCCTCCTGCTGTTAATGATCCTTGTCTCCAGCAGATGGCCCAGCCAGCCCGCAGCCAGCCTTGCTCTCCCTGGCAATCTCACCGCAGGCACATTGTATTATTCAAGACTGGCACCTTTGAAGTCAGTTTAAGTTTCAAATTATACAGAAAAGTGGTTTTATGTACACCAAGCTAAATATTCATTAGTACCTCAGAAAATGGCAATTTTGAATTTGAAATGTTTTTAGCAATAGTGGCTCCATATCAATGACTCAATAGTACCATGTCACTGCTGCAGAGTTTGTGAAAAGATGGTCCCAGGACAGTCATGCCTGGCAAATTTATTTTCTGTAATAACAAAGACCAAAATGCAAAGCGCACAGCTAATGCATCAGTTCTGCTTTTTAATATGACTATCTTACGGTTTCCTTTAAGTTACTGGAAATATACCCGTGACATATTTCCCCATCCAAAGATCAATACCTGTTACAAAAATAAATGCTGTTCTAGATGAAAAGCTGGCATTCAACAGCACTTATTTCCACTTGCTATTTGCTGTTTCCAGTAAAAGCTAGATATATACTGAGATAAGAGACTTAGATATGACCTGTGGTTAATATGAAGTGCTGAGTGTCCCATAGAAAAATCTGTACTATCTGTTAGCTTATTGGTTTCTAATGACAAAATACACCACTTCATTAGTTAAATACGCTCTTTCATGCTTTTTCCCTGCAAGAATACAAGCCTGTCTTTTCTAAACCTGATGTAAATAAATTTCAGATTTCACATGTAATGACTTCTGGTCATGCATGTTTTGAAGCTAATACTTCTAAAACGAGATGATTTCTCTTGCAAAACTCAGGAATCACCAGAAACCGAGTGTAGTTTGAACTGAGAAGAGCACATTATTCTACTTATCATTTATATAAATTGTACCTGCAAAACTGCAACTCCACAGATTTGTTCCTGTACATTTTCTTTGAATTAATTAATGGAATGAATCAACACTTGCTATGGAATATGGTTAATCTGTCCAAAGTTATACGGAAGGACAGGAATAAAGGTTTGATAGTGATCCCAGTTAACTATGGATGCTGATTTTTTGGGTAAGAAGTATGAAAACTCTCTCTTGACATTCTTGTGTTATTTTCACTTCAAGAATCATAAAAACTTTGGCAAGCCAAATTGAGAAAGCACACACTTTAGCACCACAAAACTAAGATATAAAAGCCATTTATTCAAAAAAATGTGGTGGTGTCAAATCACATACACAAGCCAATATTGAGCTACAAACACAGACCAAACAGTTCTATAAACAGAAATTGGAGTGTTCATATACCATAGTACCTGAAAAAGACCGTTAATAAAAAGGAGTCCATAAGTATTTAATTTCACTTTTTCTATATGGCTCCTTGCTGGATGTCTTTGCCTAAGTTAGTGTACGATGAGCCAGAGGTAAGAGTCCCAAGTAAAGCATCTAATGCCTCAGGGCTCCATTAAAAACCTTTATTCTTCTAAACAAAAGGAAAGTCTAGTCTATAGTTTTCTGTATGACACTGAAGTAAAGCCTCTTTGCTTGAACAGTACGGCATTCCGAAGCGCATTTGGCATTAACCTAGATTGAGACTGGGCTTTGTGGAACCGTCTCAGTTCTCCTCCCCTTCAGACTCCGACTCTGGAAGAGAATAAAGTAAAACACTTCATGTAGGTTGCACAAGGACAGTGATGTGAGTTATTCTATAAAAATAACAAGATATCCTTCCAAACTGAAAATTTTCATCGCATGTAGTACTTCCTAGGAAAGGCTGGCAGATCAAACAGAGTAAGCCAGAAACAAACACACAGCTTCAAGAAGAGGAAGGCCTACTCTGCTGCCCTCCACAGTGGAGCTCTTCATTTACAGATCTATCACTGTAATTTTCACTACATTGCTATGAATGATTCTGGCCCTCATCTGCAGAGCCACAAAATGCATATCTGAGCTGAGTTTAATAAAGGATCAGCATTATTTGCTCACTCTTCTAATCTCTATGAGTAGACCTTACTGCTATCATCCAGGAAGCACCCTTAAAACTATTTGCTCTGCAAACGTCACTCAGCATCATCATCCAGACTATCTAGAAAGGCAGAAGTGGTGTTACCCTACAGCAGGTATGAAGCCTGTAAAAACAAAATTTTTTTATGATTTGCACAGCCTAAGATAAAAGTCATTTAGACGTAGAAGCAGAAGTAGCTTAGAAATAGGAATATACATGGTGATTTTGTCACCTAAAGCTACTTTGCATCATATTGTACTTCTGTGCTCGCCTGACAGGAAAGGGTTCACTGCCAACAAATACTACACCATATATCAGATTTCTCAGAGCAAACATGGTCTGTGTGTTCCTACAGAAACATTTTGTCTCCGTTTGTACTGGACTTTGTAATGAAGACATCTGGCAGAGGGGACATGCAGGAAAGGATAAAAATAAAGAGCAGCCAAAAGGCATACAATCAGAAAATTAAAAGGGGAAAATACTGCTTAATCAGACCAAGATTGCCCATCCAAAATCTCAAGTGTGAAAGGAGCTGCCATTTTTATATTGCTATCTGAACGTGTGAATTGCTGCAAAGTTTTATCTCTTCCTTGGTATTTCTACATATTCCCTCCAAGTTTATAAAACTAATTACATTAAATATATTCAAATGAACACTAACAATTCTATCTCTATCTATTACACATGGATTTATCTGCCCAACTGATGCAGAATTCTTTTTCTGTGCAAAAAAAGGTAACTTATGTATTCAGTACAAACCAAAGTATTTTCCTTTGCGGAACATGAGAAAAACCAAGTTAGAGACTAAAGGAACTAGTTCCTCTCCCAAATAACCATTTTAAAGCAGCAAATACAGATCACATAGTCTTAGTCTGAACATTCAGCTAAATCCAGTTTCAAGAACCATGGCACAGGCAGGCTTATGCTATGTTCATGTTGCCATTAAACATGATAATAGCAGAGAAAACACCAGAAAACTGTTTGGTAGTGCGAGCTAACACCAAGGTACTTCATCCTGTCACCAGTGCAGAGTTTCTCCCTGCAGAAGCTTAAAGATCTTATCTACAGACAAGTGGTACCTGATGATTAAAGGACTTCATAGGGATACCACAATCATTAAAAAGCAGCAAATGTTGTTAAGCTTGTCCAGAAACAATTTGGACAGTGATGCCTGCTGTTTTCTATTCTAAATCCTGTATATGCCTGGTACAACTGAAATCTGAAAAAATAAAATTGTTTTATAAAGAGAGTACCATAGAAGAACACGTACCTTCTTCAGCGTTTTGCAGCCACTCCACAAATTTCTTCATCTGGTCAAGAAAAACACTTTTGCCTTTAGCAACATGTGCTTCTTTATACCATTTGAGGATAGCTTCTTCACTCAGAACATCAGCTGAAATACAGATCAGTGTTTGTAAAAAATCAACGTATTTTTTAGAGATTAGCAGATTTCAAACATGAGAGGAGATTTTTTAAAGGCAGCATAAAATAAGTTAATATGATCGCAGTGGAACAAGCTTTGCATGATCTATATTAGGCTACAAATACAGAATATTTGATGCATATTATGGGTTCCAGATGCAATAAAATGTGTAATGTATTAGGCTTAAAATAAAGTATTAAATATTGTGCCTCTGTAAAGAAGAGTTCTCTACTCATCTGTTTTAAATACACATTAGACAGTTAGATAAAACAAATAAAATAATCAGCCTGCACATCTTGGAAGTTACCACAATAAGAATTACCATGCTCTTTCTTCCTGTTGTATCACAAAACTGTGCATGGTTCTAGAAACCTGAAGTGAACAGAAACCTCCTGACTGAACACTTAAAAGACAACCAGTAGGGATTTTTGCAATCCCTAAAGGCTTCAAATTGTTTTTAGCTAATAAATTATAAGTTCACTATTCAGACCATCCATTTTAAGGGACTGGCTTGGATGGACAGCACAGCTGACATTTTTATGACAAGCATCAGAAACAAAATAGCTGTCAGTGAGGAAATGTGAGGCTGAGTACGATTCAGAATAAAGAAATACTAATAAACAGCAAGGACACTTATTGTTTCCAACAGATGCAAATTTAGGTCTAGCAACAGACCTCTAGCCCCAGGACAAAGTTCCTGTGATCCAGCCAAGCCAAGTATCTCAGTAATTGACAGCTGTGGAGGCAAAATCTGGGATCGACAATGGTATTTTGGCAGTTATGTAATGCAAGAGGCAAGAACAAACAACAACATCAAAAAAAAAAATCAAACTGTGTTCTATAAAAAGACTAAAGACAGCTTTCTACACCTCATTAAAATTTCCATTCTTTTTGTCTTTGAACAAACTGCTCTCCCTCACTCTGCAAAATCAAGGCATTTATGTACTTCACTGCTTCCTTGAGCTCCTCACTGCCATCCCACCCACTGGGTATTTGCTTGCCAAAGCACCGACCCTGATCACCACTTTCTGCTTCAGCCTCAAGTTACAGCAGATGTGGCAGGGAAGGGAAGACAACCAACTGAAATAAATGACAGCAGAACTCCAAAGCATCTGATCAAATGAGACAGAGGAGACACATTTCACATATGCTGTTGAATAATAAACAGATGGAAGCAACAGGGATACGTTTGAACTTAATCAAAACTATCCCAAGACATCCAACAGTAACTGAAGTCTCCCTGAAAATCAGGAATTTAGTAAGTGCATGTGACTGGAAATTTCCTTGTCTCTCAGACTCTTTTCCAAAATAAAACCTCTTCTGCAATTTGCTGCAACTGATAGTAATGCAGAGAAAATGCAGGGAAAACAGGACTACACTAGCTCTAGGCTTCTTTCCATACATATAAATTGTGCTTAGTAAACCTTACAAGTGGCACACAAAGCCACTACCTTTCTGAAATCACAACCAGCCACAATGAACTTTTTCGCCAATGTTACAGAAATGCTGGAGCTAAGACAGAGGTTTCTAACACGTTGCATTAAATACTTGTCAATAGTCCTTAGCAACAGCTCAAAGGCATTACAGTATTTAACGAATCTAGATTTAATTTAGCAAACCTGAAAATATTTAACATGAGCTCATGAATCTGCAGTTTAATGTAAAAATGCCTGTGAAAAGCTTATATTTACCACAGAGTCCTGAAGTCCCAACAACTACACCTGCAAAATTACACAGGGTATGACACATATTATGAATCTTAAGGACTGGTAAAGAAAATCATGGGAGATTTCAGAAAAAAAAAAGCAAAACAACCAAACAACAAAAAAACCCCCAAACCAACAACAATAAAAAATTAGTAGAGCAACCCCCTCCCCAGCTCAAGCTCTGGGGTACTGTGGACATTTACAAGCATGAGGCTGCTATATAGAACAAACTGCTGAAGCTGTTGCTGCGTTACAGTTCACATTATGATACTGTACAAGGAAGCTGGTGGGCACATAGCTCAGTTCAAGAGTAACAGAATTTAAGTCTGGCTTTTTGATTTGCAGTCTGTAA